TCACAGAGCTTAGCACATCACACACGCTCATTAAACAATCGTTCAACGAAGGTACTAGCGTGGCACAACTGTTCGCCGCAGTCGAGGAAAACCCACGTGGCCGTATTTACCTTTTCGGATCACGTGATCTTGCGCGCCCAACCTGGTCAATCCGCCGGCCACGCCCCGGGGCTGGAGGGATTTCAGAGTAGGAAATGTGATTGGGTATCTTGTGGGCACGTGGCTATAGGTTCCTCTTTTGTATTGGCGAACAGCGGCCCACCCCGGACTACCTCCGCCCCTCCCAGGCTCAGGCCCCGCCCCTCCCAGGCTCAGGCCCCGCCCCTCTCGCGCTTAGGGCCCGAGACAGCGCAGGCGCAGTGATTGGTAAGGGTAGCTGGGCGGTGGGGCTTCGGTGTGCTCCAGTCCTGAGCCCGAATCCAGCAGGAAGGACAGAAGGACAGAGTAGACGAGTCGACTGTGAAAAGAGGGCGAACTCACGTGCGTGTGATGTTCGGGCCAACTTTCCTGTGGTGCTCGTCCCTCTCCCCCACCCACACACACGCGCCTCCTTCCCCAGCTCTCCCTTCCCGTTTCCGGTTGCTAACTCCTCCATTGCCTTTATCGCGGGGAGGGACCGAGGGGGCTGGGACAGTGGGGTGAAGGGAGTCAAAATGGGGCGCGGAGGAGGAACGGCCAAGGAGAGAGGCGAGTGGGTTTGGGGACGAGCCAAGGGCCTCGGGGGCGCCCCGAGTTCCCACTTGAGTTACCACCCCCACCTTGAAGAGTGAAAACAAAAAAAGAGTGGAGAGATTTGCATTCTGACCCCCATGCTTTTGCTTTTGTTGTTTGGAATGCTCTCCCTTTTCTCGTCTGGTGATTGCCCATTCATCTTTCAGGACCCAGCTGGGGTCACTTCTGGAAGTTTCTTGAGCCTTGCCCTCTTGCCTTCCAAAGTACAGTTGCTCAGTTACCCCACCGGGTTTCCAGAGCATTAAAGAGGGAGAGCGAGCTCAGAACTGGACTGAGTGGGTTTGATTACTAGCCTGGTCACCCTAGGTGACCTTGGGCAAATTACATAAGGTCTCCAACTTCAGGGTCCTCATCTTTCAAAAGAAACAACAGTGCGGGCCTGGCCCCGTGGCTTAGCGGTTAAGTGCTCGCGCTCTGCTGCTGGCGGCCCCCGTTGGGATCTCCGGCCATGCTGAGGCCGTGTCCCACATACAGCAACTAGAAGGATGTGCAACTATGACATACAACTATCTACTGGGGCTTTGGGGGAAAAATAAATTAATTAATCAAAAAAAAAAGAAATAGTGCGCAGATCATAGTATTGTGGGAATTAGGGAGTCAATACGTTGAAAAATGCTTCCTACAGTGCTTGCTGTACGGTAAATGTTTAATGTTTTCCCAAGGGAGCAGAGAGGGAAGAATATTCACTTTTTATTTTCTTTAGAAAGGCTTTATTACATCAAGCAAGATTTGGCTTTTGTAATTTTTTAAAAACGACGAACAGGTACACAAAAAGGAAATGTGGCTCTGGGGAAGATCCTTGTGAGTCTAGTTAAAGGAGTACTCAAGAAGGGACAAAGGTTTGGCAGGTATGATGGCTTCCCCTCCCACCCACCCTGCCCTCCTTCCAGATCCTAACCATCATGGCTGATGTTTGCTTATCACATGCCAGGCACTGCTCTGAGCTCCACGCACATCATTACCTTGTTTAATCTTCATAACAACCCAATGAGGTAGCTACTATTATCCTCATTTATAAAGAGACTGAAGATTAGATGAAACAACTTGGCCAGGTTCACCTAACTGGTAAGTAGCAAGACACGGATGGAAATCCAAGTCTGTCTGTACCCTAAGAGTTTCGGTTCCGTGCTATAATTCCTTTTCTAATAAATTGAGAGAAAAAAAACCCCAACATTCTCCCTTCTTTGATGAGTTTAATTTTTTGTCTTCATGCGATAGAATTTATCTGTTTTGTGACATATATAATAAAAAATCTGGATCTTAGAGCCCCATCTTGAACCTCAACAAGGATAATATATCTGGAATTAATGATTATATCTGGTGGCAACCTCTAGGAACAAGAGGACAACTTGTCCCGGTTTTAGCACTGAAAGTCTTGCATCTCAGGAAACCCCTCAGTACTGCGCAGTCCGAGATAGTTGGTCACCCACCTAGGAGTGTTGAATTTCCTATAGGTCTGTCTTTTGATCCTCTTAGGAGAAGTCCAGCATTCACTGAGAACTGACCCTTATGCAGGCCCAAGCATCTCTTGTGGGCTTAACTCATAAGTGAGCTAATGTGTTGTAAATGTTTTGCACAGTGCTTGGGATATAGTGTACTCGATAAATGCTGTTATTTAAGGGAGAGGTCAGAGGATATTCAGTTTATGACAGCATAAAAGGAGGAGTATGAGTTAGTGGGAAGGAGGTTTGAGTGTTATATACTTGTTTGCCTTTGTGACTGCTACTTACTAAAAGTGCATTAGGAACTGCCATCTAGCAGAAAGCAAAAAGATGTAAAGTAAGGAGCCATGAGAAGCATCACCTTCGAGAAATACCAAGTTCCTCTTGAGACAGATTTTTTGGAAAGAATTCCATCTCAGGAGGAAATATGAACAAAACGAACATTCCTAAGGCCCTCAAGACTTGGTTTCATGAGCCGTGTCAGCATCAAGGTGATGACAAAGCCTGCCTTCTCTCCCTAACCTGCTCTCACCGCCCACCACATTTTAACCATTTCTGGTCTCCTTGGCCAGGTGTACTGCTGGCTTCTACTTCTACTTCAGGCTTTTTGTGTGTGTGTGTGTGTGTGTGTGTGAGGAAGATCAGCCCTGAGCTAACATCCGATGCCAATCCTCCTCTTTTTGCTGAGGAAGACTGGCCCTGAGCTAACACCCGTGCCCATCTTCCTCTACTTTATATGGGATGCCGCCACAGCATGGTGTGACAAGTGGTGCGTTGGTGCGCGCCTGGGATCCAAACCCACAAACCCCAGGCCGCCGAAACAGAGCGCACGCACTTAACCGCTGCACCACTGGGGCGGCCCCAACTTCTTTTTTTTTCCTGCTGAGGAAGATTCACCCTGAGTTAACATCTGTCGCCAGTCCTCTTTTTTTTTTTTGCTTCAGGAAGATTAGCCCTGAGCTAACATCTGTGCCAGTCTTCCTCTATTTTGTTTTTTTTTTTTTTTTTTTTTTTTAAAGATTTTATTTATTTATTTTTTCCCCCCAAAGCCCCAGTAGATAGTTGTGTGTCATAGCTGCACATCCTTCTAGTTGCTGTATGTGGGACGCGGCCTCAGCATGGCCGGAGAAGCAGCACGTCGGTGCAAGCCCGGGATCCGAACCCGGGTCGCCAGCAGTGGAGCGCGCTCACTTAACCACCAAGCCACGGGGCCGGCCCTTCCTCTATTTTGTATGTGGGTCACCGCCACAGCATGGCTGACAAGTGGTCTAGGTCCATGCCCAGGATCTGAACCCATGAACCTGGGCTGCTGAAGTGGAGTGTGCTGAACTTAACCACTACACTGTGGGGCCAGCCCCTCAGGCTGACTTCTTTCTAACCATAATCTTCAAACAAAAGAGAAGCACATTGTTTAAAAGGAAAAGAACTGGGGCTGGCCCCATGGTGTAGTGGTTAAGTTCAGTGCACTCTGCTTTGGTGGCCCAGGTTCACAGGTTCGGATCCTGGGTGCGGACCTGCACCACTTGTCAGCCATGCTGTGGCGGTGACCCACATACAAAAGTAGAGGAAGATTGGCACAGATATTAGCTCAGGGTGAATCTTCCTCAGCAAAAATAAATAAATAAAAAGAAAATAACTGGGAGGAAAGTCTACTTGGATTCTGGTCCTGGCTCTGAAACTTCATACTATGGCCTTAGGTAAGTCTGGATCTTGGTTTCCTCAAAAAGGAAATGAAGGGAGGATGGACTAAATTTTTTCTCATTCTGTTATTCCAGGCATGACTCTGACACTTTCTGGTAGAGAATAAGGGTGGGGGAAATAGTTCATCCTCAGTGAGACACTTGAGGGCAAGAGATTGTATCTTTGTAGCCTTAGGACCTTAATACAGTGACTGTCAGTAACCATTTATGAGATTTGTGGATGAGAATGGCTTGATTCAAAGACCCAGATTTGAATGCAATTATTGGTATTGACTTTGGGTAAATGAGCAAATCTGATTCAAAGCACCTTAGCATCCTCATCTACAAAAAAGCTGGAATGAGATTTACAACAACCTTACACCTCTTCAGAATTAGTTAACGACTGTGAGCAAACCTACAGTTGTGCAGGTGAAAAGAACTCTTTATGTTTTCAAGATCTTAGATTATCCCAGTTAACTGGAATTTGCTTCCTAGGCAGGTGTCAGATGAACATGTATTGCTTGCCCTAATTTTAGACAAAAGACTACCTGAAATAGGCTGTGATTCTTTCATCTGCTTCGCTTTTTGATGAGATTGTGCAGAAAGCTTTAGCCTAGTTCAGTGATTCTTTCTGGCTAACACAGTAATCAAACGAGTCTTGCCACTTTCCTTGGCAAAAACAAATCAATTTAAGAGCCCACTTGGGAATTCACTGTTTCCTTTCCACAGACCAGATTCAATGCAGGTATCTCAGGGGCCAGCCCAGAAGGGTACTGTTAAGTTCACACACTCCACTTTGGTGGCCTGGGGTTCATGGGTTCAGATCCCAGGTGTGGACCTACATACCACTGGTCAAGCCATGCTGTGGCGGCATCCCACATACAAAGTAGAGGAAGATTGGCAGCGGTGTTAGCTCAGGGACAATCTTTCTCAAGCAAAAAGAGGAAGATTGGCAACAGATGTTAGCTCAGGGCCAATCTTCCTCAGCAAAAAAAAAAAAAAAACAACAAAAACAAGGCAGGTATCTCGTTCTGGCAGTTTAAATCAAGCAGAAATCCTTAGAGAACTATGTCATGAAGCCTCATTCTCTTGCCGCTGATTAAAAAAAATATATAAATGTACAGCCCACAAACCTAGTGTGCTATAAAAAATGATTCCTTTATTCCTTGGTTAATAAAAAATTAATTCATACCGTTACTCATCTTTTCAAAAAATATATCAGAATGGTTCAGTTAAAGACATTTAACCATTTGGGATTATAAAATTAAGTCATGTCCTTCTCCCCTTACCCCCACATTAGTGAAATCCCTAGATTAGCACTCCAAAGACCATTCTGGCCCACATATTAACCGGGCCATTTCTTCTGCTTAGTGGATAAAAAGGAAGTGAAAGCAGTTTTCCTATTAAGAGAAGCTGCTGCTTTGAGAAAGTCTTTCTTCAGGGGCAAATCTCATCAGCCTGAAGATCTGAACTGCTTGGCTCTGAAACCTGCCCAGGTCCGAGATGGGCTGGCAGAGAGATACTGGTTTGCTGCCCTCTACAGGCTGCACTCAGCGAGCTTCGATTAGTTAGAGGAAGAAGGGATGAATCTTAGGGATCTGAAAAAAAATGAAACAAGTTAATGCCAAAATAAGCAGAGAATGGGGTGGATGAAATGATTGTGAACATCAGCCTACCTTTCAAAAAACCATAGCATTTAGGACATGTAAAGATGGCCACTATATATTATTACATGAAAATAGGATATAATAAAACATTATGCACAGCTGGATTCAATTTTTCTAAGAACAGATTTAGTTACACCAGAATGTTAAACTTTGGTTATCTTGGTATATATGTATCTTGGTGCTGGGATTATGGGTAATTTCTATTATGTTCTTTTTACTTAATTGTATCTTCTAAACTTTGTACAATAAATATGTATTATTCCAGTAACAAGAAACTAGTTTAAAAGTATATTAAAAATATTTGTGCCAAGGGGACTTGTTGGGTATAGTAATGTTCTGTTCCTCAATCTAAATGCTCTATATCTTCATCAAGCTGTCCACTTATGATACGTGCACTTCGCTGTTACGTATAGTATACTTCAATTAAAACAGTTTGAAAAAAGTGGTTGTACAAGAACTCTCATTCATTGCTGGTGGGAATGCAAAATGGTACAGTCACTTTGGAAGGCAGTTTGGAATTTTCTTACAAAGCTAAACATACTCGTATTATCATGCACTCCAGCAATCTTGCTCCTTGGTATTTACCCAAATGAGTCGAAAACTTATGTTCACACAAAAACCTGCACATGGATGTTTAGAGCAGCTTTATTCATAATCGCCCAAAACTTGGAAGCAACCAAGATGTCCTTCAGCAGGTGAATGATAAATACCGTGTGAGTATACAGAGGTAGGGGGTATATGGGAACTCGCTGCACTTTCTGCTCAATTTTGCTGTAAACCTAAAACTCCTCTAAAAAAGAAGGTCTATTTAAAAAAACAAAGTGGGGGCCGGCCCGGTGGCATAGTGGTTAAGTTCTTGCACTCCACTTTGGTGGTCCAGGGTTCAAGGGTTCGGATCCTGGGAGCAGACCTACACACCACTCATCAAGCCATGCTGTGGCGGTGTCCCACATAGAAAATAGAGGAAGATTGGCACAGATGTTAGCTCAGGGACAATCTTTCTAACCAAAAAAAAAAAAAAAAAAGTGGTTGTACTCCTCTGGGAATATATTAAAAACTGTTGAATTGTACACACTGAGTGAACTGTATGGTAGGTGATTTATATCTCAGTAAAGCTATTTTTTTAAGTGGTTGTACTCATAGATTAAAATAGATATAAAGTACTGACACATGCTACAATATGATTAACGTTGTAAACATTAGGCTAAGTGGAGAAGCCAGATACAAAAGGCCACATATTGTATGAGATATCTAGAATAGGCAGAAACAGAAAGATTAGTTATTGTCAGGGATTGGGGCAGGGGGGTGGGGGTGGGGGTGGGGAATGACTGCTAATGGGTACAAGGGTTTTTTTTTTGGGATTATGAAAATGTTCTGGGGCCGGCCCCGTGGCTTGGCGGTTAAGTGCGTGCGCTCTGCTGCTGGCGGCCCGGGTTCGGATCCCGGGATCGCACCGACGCACCGCTTCTCCGGCCATGCTGAGGCCGCGTCCCACGTACAGCAACTGGAAGGATGTGCAGCTATGACAGACAACTATCTACTGGGGCGTTGGGGGAAAAATAAATAAATAAAATCTTTAAAAAAAAAAAAAAGAAAATGTTCTGGAATTAGTGGTGATTAATGTACAACTTCATGAGTGTACTAAAAACAAGTTAGTTGTACACTTTTATTTTATTTTATTTTATTTATTTTTGTGAGGAAGATTAGCCCTGGACTAACATCTGTTGCCGATCCTCCTCTTTTTGCTGAGGAATATTGGCCCTGGGCTAACATCCATGCCCATCCTCCTCTACTTTTTTATATGTGGGACGCCTGCCACAGCGTGGCTTGATAAGCGGTGCTTAGGTCCACGCCCAGGATCCGAACCTGTGAACCCCAGGCTGCAAAAGTGGAGCGCGTGAACTTAACCACTGCACCCCTGGGCCGGCCCCTAATTGTATACTTTTAAAAGGTGAACTTTATGGTATGTGAATTATATCTCAGTAAAGCTGTTTATTTTTTAAAAACAGGAAAAGAAGCAATGGCAGATTTTGGAACATTGTCTTAAATAGCCATGTGCCCAGAATCTGAAAATCATAGTCTTTCAAACACTATAGTTTAATGCACATTAAAGAATTGGTTTTAATTAAGAATAGCCATACATGAAGAAGCCTAGAACTTTCTATATTTTGTCAGTGCTCTCAGTTGAATGGGAACTGGAATCTGATATCTGAGAAGGTATTTACCTTTAGCAGCAAGATTCAAGTTCCAGTTTCTGGCTCAGGAACATCAGGCTGTGGTCAGTGCGGGTCTATTAAAGGCAGCAACTCTCCGCAACGAGAATCCAGTTTCAGACATGCCAAGTCATCCGACCGTGTGGGCCCAATGTTCAGTATTGCAATTGGTAGCTTCTTCTCCTGGGCAGTGAGGATAAACCTGTAACCAGAGTACACCTGTACGAGGAGAAGTCACAGATGAGAGCTTTCTAGATGCAAGAAGAGATAAACCAAGTGGGGAGCTTCTCCAGGGCTCACTATCCCACAAAAGGGGCAGTTACCACCCCGACCAAGTCAGATACCTGCAAGGATGATCCCACAACCAAGAGGGAGTCGGCTTCTCTCACACGCCTGTGCACAAAGTCAACCTTGTCAGGGCTCACTGCATCCCCGAAGAAAACGACATCTGGTTTCAGGCGGCCTCCACATCGAGCGCAGGATGGGACCCGAAAGCTCTGTACCTCCTCCTCTGTGAGAAAGACGTCACCATCGGGAGCCAGGCCATGGGCCTCGGCACTCCAGCTGGGGTTCAAGACTTCAAACCGCTCCTGCAGCACCCCACGGGGAGTCTGTTCACCACAATCCAAGCAGAGGACCCTGAAACCAAAGAGGAGGCCGACTGAACAGTCTGTCCTGGGGAGGCACAAAGCTGCTGAAGACATTTCACCCCCAACCATTTTCAGCCCCTACATCGTTGCTTTCTTTTCCTAACACCTGGTTTTTTCCCCTATTTTAGGAATACCTTCTCATGACTTCTTTATCTATCTCTCACCTTCTTTCCACTGCAGCCTTCTAGAACAAGTAATGTACATCTGTTTCCTTACTACACACTCCCTGCTCAACCTTCTGCTAGTTCATTTTTATCCTTAACATGACTGCAAATGCTTTACCAAATGATTTCCTTAATGCCAAAACCAGTGTTTTCCCCTCCATCCTCTGCTCTCCTCATCTGCTGTAACAGTCGCTGTCTGTCACCATCCTCTCTTTAAAACACATTCCCCCCTTGGCGTCTATGACACAGTATCTTCTGCGCCTCTTCTCACCTCCCTAACCACCAGAACGTGAGCTCTGTGAGGGCAAGAACTTGGAGTCTTTTGATCACTGCTCTATGCCCACCACCTAGATCAGGCCTGCACACTGTGGACATTCACTAAATAGCTATTGAAAGAAAGAACAAAAAGGGACCAGCCTGGTGGCATAGTGGTTAAGTTCATGCACTCTGTTTCAGTGGCCCAGGGTTCGCAGGTTCGAATCCCGGGCGCGGACCAACGCACCGCTCATCAAGCCATGCTGTGGAGGCATCCCACATACAAAATAGAGGAAGATCAGCACAGATGCTAGCTCAGGGCTGATCTTGCTCAGCAAAAAGAGAAAGATTGGCAACAGATGTTAGCTCAGGGCCAGTCTTCCTCACCAAAAAAAAAGAACAAAAGGTGGTTTAATTGGCTCCTCCTCTGCTCTTCAATCCTCCAGCCTGTTTTCTTCCTACGTTCCCCACCTTGGGGATTCTCCGTTTTCACTGCTGAACGCCTCTGTGCTCATGGTTTCCTCTTCTATGTAAGACTCCACTCCTGCTCTTTCTCCCAAACTCTAGTCCAATTCCAAGTCTTCTTGGCCGTCCTGTCAAGCTTACCTTCTGTCTTCAACCCCACCTCCCCAACTTCTCCATCACCATCATTTCTCCAGTTACTTGGGCCGAAAGCCTTGGAAAAAACTTGTTACTCCTTCTTTTCCTTTTACTCTCTATTTAGTCAGACATCAAATTATGTTGACTTTTTTACTTAAAAGGCTCCCTGTGAAATGACATGAAGTCTTGGATTTGTTTTAAAACATTTAAGAAGAGATAGGGAGAGAAGGGATAAAGTAGATGTGATAAAATCTTGATAAAACTCATTGAATCTGGGTGATGGTATATGGGAATTCATATACTAGTCTCTTTACTTCATGGATGTTTGAAATTTTCATCATGAAAAAATAATTTTTTAATGGACGCACAGCCATCATTAGCTCTCTCATTCCCTTGATACCACCTTAGTCTGGGTCCTTCAGGCTGACCTCCTTGAGCCACACTCTCTAATCCTGTCTAGCCTTCCTCAAATGCTATTTTTATCATGCTGTTTTCTTGCTCAGAAACCACTAATAGTCCCCTTCGGTCTCTCACAGTAGCCCCAAATTGCACTTCATGATTTTCAAATGTATCCGTGATTTGGGTCTAGCCTTCCCAGACAACCTGATTTCATACTAGTCTCTGCAGAGGCCAGGCCAGATTACTCTGGGCTTTATAAATTCCCTTCACGTAGAAAGCCCTCTTTCCCGCTCTTTGCCTAGTCAAACCTGAGCCAGTGGTAAGGCCCACCTTACCCATAAAAGCTTTCCTGATTACTCCAATCTTTACTAAATCTCTGTCTCTCTGAACTTGTAAAGCATGTCTATCAAGGATTACACAATTTAACAATCATGTGTGGAGTTGTGTGTCGTTAAACCTGTTATTTTTGGGTCCCCCCCAAACAGATTGCAAAGTTCTTGCATATAAAGTAGGCCACATTTTATACTTTGGTTTTAACCCCTCCACACCAACAAGTAGCACACACCACTCGCTGCAGGCACCCAATAAACATTTTACAATTGGCAGACTGATTTTAGTCCTCAGCAGAGGATCTCTGGGCTTAAAGATAAGGAAATGGTCTGCAATTAGCTACAAGTTATTGCCAGGGCTACATGTGTTCATTCCATCAGTGTTTATTGGGTTCTGACTATATGCCAGGCTACACTGTGTTCTGTGTGTCGAGGCACCTGAGACCCAGCAGTTTGCAGCATATGCTGCTGGTGCTCTGCTCATAGTCCCCTCAGGACACCCTAGAGGCCACTGCACACAGTTCTCCTATAAGCAGCTTCCTGCATCTCTCTCGCGTTATGGTGTTCTCCGGCTGAGGAAGCCTTCTCGGGAGGAGCAGAGTCACTGTTAGGGAGTTAATTCCCCAAGAGTACCCCTCAACCAGTGAGGGATGGGAGATGGAGGATAAACACCCCATCTTCCTCGACTTTCAGTGAGACAATTCTGAAACATGCTCCAGACAGTCAGAGGGTCCCTCACAGGACTGAGCCCCAGCTGCCCAAAGCAGTAACCATTCATTAACGTACCCTTCTCTTGACTTTCCTCCCTTCATATCGCACTTCCCCACTCCCTCACTGAGTGCTGGGATCAACTCCAAAATAAACAACTTCCTCCCAAATCCTTTTCTCAAGGTCTAACAAAGACAGCAGTGATCAAGACAGCCAAGGCCCCTGTTCTTATGGGAGCATACGTGTCTGTGTTCCAACTTTGTAGGCCTTCCTGCACCTGTGCATGCATCCGTGGAGTTCTGTCAGGCGCTGACTGCCTGCCTTGGTGTGCAAGGCATCCACATTCTGAGTCACCAACCAGTATACCTTCCCAAGTCTCTCCCAGTTGCTCAAAGCCAAGTGTGCAGGGTTAGGCTGGTGGGAGGAGAACTGAGGCCAGCCCACAAAGTTTCTCGCCCAGTACCGCTGGCGGATTGGAGCACTCCGTACAAAATCCGCATGCTGGATGGGCCTCCGGTCAGTGCGGGCATACAGTCCCACCTTTTCTGACCTGTAGTCTGGGATCCCCGACTCAGTGGAGATTCCTGCCCCAGTCATCACTAGGAGTCTCTTGGAAAGGGTGATGAAGTGCTGTAATTCTTTGACCTTCTCAAGGTCCAGAGGAGGACTTGGTGGCACAAATAACCCCATGGATCCACGTGAGCACTGCCGGCTGAGATTGGCCATGCAGCGGCCTTTTGCTGTCCTGAAGGTCAACCCGAAGCTCATCCTCATTCTAGAGAGAAAGAAACCTCATGTGAGAAACTTTTGTTTGTTTATTGAGGTATAATTGACATATAGCATATTAGTTTCAGCTGTACAACATAATGATTCGATATTTGTATATATTATGAAATGATCACCACAATAAGTCTAGTTAACCTCTGTCACCATACATAGTTAAAAGACTTTTTTTCCTTGTGATGAGGACTTGTAAGATTTGCTCTCTTAGCAACTTTCAAATATGCAATAGAGTATTATTAACTATAGTCACCATGCTGTACGTTACATCCCCATGACTTATTTTTATTTCATAACTAGAATTTTATACTTTTTGACCCCCTTCACCCATTTCGCCCACCTCCAACTCCCTGCCTCTGGCAACTACCAATCTGTTCTCTGTATCTATGAGCTTTGGGGTTTTCTGGTTTGTCTTTTAGAAACTGGTTTTTAGGGCCGGCCCCGTGGCTTAGCGGTTAAGTGTCTGCACTCCGCTGCTGGTGGCCCAGGTTCGGATCCCAGGGGTGCACGGACGCACCGCTTCTCCCGCCATGGTGAGGCTGCGTCCCACATACAGCAACTAGAAGGATGTGCAGCTATGACATACAACTATCTACTGGGGCTTTGGGGGAAAAATAAATATATAAATAAAATTTTAAAAAAAG